TTTTATATTTTTTATCAATAAATAGTATTCATAAATAAATGTCATTTATTTATAAATCCTGCTTTTAAATATAAATTCAAATTCTTATAAAAATATGTCATTAATTTACGAAATTATTTTGAATAATTTTTTTTTATAAAGGTCCAAAATACGAATGCTGAAATGAGAAAGCGCATCGTACTAAAAGGAAGGCATTGCCTAATTTATCAAAAATTACTCATATTGAGAAGCTATTTCTAGTGGCTTCTGCAAAAGCAATGAAAAAACCAGATTTGGCGTACATCAAGGAAGTCTTGAAAATAACGAATCATATAAATAAGCAATTTAAAGAAGAGAAGTGTGATAAAGAAGAACAGGGCGATAAGGAAGAAGAGACAGACGAAGAAGAATAAATCAATAAGGAAAAAGAGGCAGACGAAGATGATAGAGATTATTAGTGGATTATTACAAGACTTGAATAACAGACTTGAAAAATAGTGATGTTGATTTGCCAGAGTACTAATAATATCAATAAAATAAAAAAGTAATTTTGAATAAATTACTATTTTGATAAATGTTATTTTTATATAAATTTAAAAATATTATTTTAGTCTTTGCACCATAATCTTATTTCATATTATATTTTTTGTTTAACCGATTGATATAGAAAATTCGTTTCTATGGAAATAAATAAAGCGATTACAATAATACTCAAAAAATTGGTGTCATCTATCGCCAAATGCATCAAAAGTACTCGACTTTAAAATTGTTATAAAAACTAAAAAACTTAATAATTTGAACTGACTGACTTTTTTTGAGAATGTCATATACCATTTGCAGTATAGAAAAATAAAATAAAAAATGTTTCTACCCCTCGCGCGGTATAAATAAAATGCATGAAAAAAATGCCTTTTTTCATAAAATTCACGATAAAAATAAGAACGTATGAAATCATTTAAAACAAAAAAATAAATTTTTTAAACCTAGAAACATGACTTAGTTATTGGTATTTAAATAAAAATTTTAACTTTTTTGCATTTGAATATATTTTATACGAATTATAATCATTGAGAATATTAGAGCAAAAAAAAGGTTGCGTTTTAATAGCTAAAAATTTATCATAATTCATAAATATATGTAGCTGAATTTTTTTATAAAGTGTTACCATAACCAGAACTTAATAAAGATTTAGCTAGATTAGCTTGATAAGGATGTCTTTTACACGACCAGCGAATTTAAAATTACAAAAAACTACTTTTTTTGCATTTTTCTATAGTAATTTTTGAACGTTTTTTTGTACTTTTATTATGTGAAATCTTTTTGACGTAGAAGTTAAGATATCTTAAACATATTGACAAATAAAAATTTTTATTTTATGAATAATTAAAACAAAAATTGAAGTTAAAACTTCTGCACTTTTTTAACAAAAGTTTATTACAAAAAATAAGTCTTTTAAATCCGTGTTGCTGTCCTGTTAATAAACATAAATAACAAACCTATATATTTTTTTTAATAACTTTTAAAATTTCACCAATTTATACGTCTTTTTCCGAGACTTATTTATTTTATTTATCGGAAAACTTGTTCAAAAAAGTCTCGATTTAGTGTCACTCCTTTAAGATTGATGTAGGTAAAAACAGTTCAAAATTTAATTTGAAGTCATATGTTTAAGATGTTTGGTAACTATTAACAACATTTTTAACAATAAATTTTAATTTTTTGATTTACATTACTGAGATCACAAAAATATTTTATAAATTGATTTTTTCAAATTAGTTTAATTATGAGTTTAGTTTAAAAACTAAAAGATTCCACTAGATTCCATGGTAGTTTTAATATTTTTCCATTAGTAGATATATATGAAAGCAGAAAAAATAAAAATCATTTCCCCAACTTAAAATAAGATCTTTTAAATACTTCGTTTTTTTTTTTGTATTTTTTTTTTCCGTTTTTAATTATAACTTGCGCATAAAGTAGCGAACAATAGTTCATTTCTTGCATTCATCACACAAATAATACATTTATTTCCTTTTACTAAAAAAACTCGTTCTCAAGCAGATGGTGCTAATTATCAAACCTCAAAACCAAAATATGCAATATTTGATGCTATAGTGCATATTTTAAAATTTAAACTTACGTATAAAATAACTAACAATTGTTTCTTGCTTACATTAAACATGAAAAGAATACATTTAGTCCCTATAATTTAAGATTTAGGAATTAATCATGATAATTTATTCGAAGCTTTTATACGTGAGTTTTGTAGACTGGAGGGTCTGTACTATGAAAGTATTAACAAAGAAAACTCTAATAATATTTAAATGTAAATTCCGATCAAAATTGCAGAAATATTCAAGAACCTTCTCTAGACTTTCGGAACACGAGCAAACTTGGTTGAACAAAGATGTAACTGTTGACAAAAAAAACTTTGCCGCAGGTTCGGGCAGAAAGAGCAAGAACTAGGAAGATTTAGGTGACAGAAGCAGAAGATCTAAGGTAATAATAAATAAATTAAGTTCAAACCAATTTGAAAAAATAGTTTTCAAACTTTAGTATTAAATATTATCTTGTTTAAGGTTGCCAAATTGGCTGAACATCCTGCTGAAGATTTGGCATGAGCTTCAATTAAAAAAGCCACTAGAGATCCAACCAAAAAAGATTTCGTTGTTTTCATGAAAAGTGCAACAAACTCTGAAAAAGTTAATATCACGGAGATAAATTTTCCGATAAAAGTGAAAACCGAAGATGCCTTGGGCTTAAAAGTTCAGTGTGACCTTTCTGATGAGCAGTATCGAATTATTTGAAATTCATCAATAATAAATAATACAGATATTTATCCTTCACTTCACGAAATTAAGAATGAGAGAAACAAGTGTTATCCTGAGGGTTTAATTGGGACAGAAACATCTGCTTCAACTCCTCTACAGGGTATGTTTAATCACACTCTGACAAGAATATTAACTTTTACGGAATGCCAAGACTCTATGAGAATGTTTGCAGAAATTGGGGGGAAGTTTAAAGGTATACTTCACTTTAAAGGTGGCTTTGATGGTGCCTCCAGTCAAAGTGTCTATAAACAAAAATAAATAAATTAAGATTTAACCATCTTTGATGGTTAAATCTTAATTTATTTATAAAGTGGTTAATGCCCTCACTAACACTCTGTCCTCCCAATCATGTAATATTTGCGGATCTAAGCCCAGTGAACTTAATAGCCCCGAATTGATCAGATGTAAACGAATTAATGAAAAAGTTTTATCTTTAGTTCTTTCTACTCTGCATTGCTGGCTCAGATCTTTTGAATATATTTTACATTTAGGATATAAATTATTAAACATTAAAAAATACTTTGCCGAATCCCCCGCTGAAAAAGCATCAGTGAAAAGTAGAAAAAGGAACATTTAACTGAGCTTTAGAGAGGAGCTAAGTCTTATAGTTGATATGCCTTAACAGCGTTTTGGCAACACTAACGATGGAAACACTGCCAGAAGGGCATTTGAAAATGCTGAAACTTTCGCTGATATAACGGGAGTGTCAGTATATGTAATTATTATATTGAGGACAATCCTAATATCAGTATGCTCCTGTTATGAGTTAAACTTAGAAAGTTTTAGCCAGTATTGTTAGAAACTACAGCTTTTATACTCAAAAAATATTGCTGGTATATGATTCCCCCAACTGTTTATAAACTCTTGGAACATGGTGTGCAAATATCTGAGGCATTAGAACTTTCAATTAGTTACTACTCTAAAGAGTCACAAGAGGCTCTAAATAAGGAAATTCGCAAAGCTAGATTAAACCATACAGCCAAGATATCAAGAAAGAATATTATTAAAAACCAGTACCAATACCTCTTGATTAGAAGTGATCCTGTAATATCAAACATTTGTTGAAAATGGAAAAACACTTACCCCTGAAATTTTATCTTTGTTAATGCTGTAGTTATGAAATAAAGCTTTTTTATAACGTTAGGTTTTTTTTTTTGTTTTCTTGAAAGAAAAATTAGAGGAGATAAATATTTATTTTGTATTTAATAAACTTTAATATTATAATAATATTATTAGATTTTTTGAATCCAATTTTTCTTTTTAATAAGTATATGTTTTGGTTTGAAGAATTTAATTTTTTTAAATTAAGTCTATGTGCGCGTAAAAGACTATAACACGTATTCGCGTGTTTACGTGTTAGAGTCTTATACGCGTGTACGACCCTTAGGCACAAGAAAAATTTACAATAAAAAAGATGTGGTTTTTTTTTTTTTATATATTGTATTTTGGATCAAGGAATGCTATTTATTTATATAAATCATATTTAAATTATACGCGTCATAGGTATGCGTAAAAAATATTTTCAATAACAAATTAAAATTTTTTGACCTTAAATACGATAGTATTGATATAATTTATCCGATGAATGAATATATAACTATATATATATATATAACTATATATATATATATATATATATATATATATATATATATATATATATATATATATATATATATATATATATATATATATATATATATATATATATATATATATATATATATATATATATATATATATATATATATATATATATATATATATATATATATATATATATATATATATATATATATATATATATATATATATATATATATATATATATATATATATATATATATATATATATATATATATATATATATATATATATATATGTAGCGACTCGTTCCCAAAAAGAAAAAAAATCCGTCTAAACCTAAACTAAAATTCAATAGATTGAATTGTTTCAAGAACCCAAATAAAGATTCGTCAAAAATCAACTTTAATTTGAAAATCACCTTCTTTGAGAAGTAGGGTTATGAAAACACCCCCACATCCCTAAAATTGTCTCAGTATTTATATTTATTGTCGTACAAATCTATGCTAAGTAAAAATCACTTTAAAAAAAAAAAAATTCACGTTATGTTGTTCGTATAAAATAAATTGCAAACTAGTTTTTTTTTTTTACTATTTTGTTTTGTTGCACGAAATAAATAAAGAGAAATACAATTTTTAATTTTTTTAAATAAAATTTACATTAATCAAATTGTTTTAGTTAACTTAAAAACTTTGACAGGTTTGTTGCTTAAATTATTATCATAATGAGCTTGGATGAAGTTGCTTGATGACATAAAGATACGTTTATAGTTCCCGGAGAAGCCTAGAAATCAAATAAATTATCATAAATAAACAGTTATAAATATAGTAATTATAAATAATATTATGGAAAAATAAAATAAATGAAAATAAATTAAACAGTTTAACAAAAATTCATTATAATGGATTCGTTAAAAAAAAACCTTTTAAAAGTTATATATTAGAATAGAATAGAATAGAAAAGGTGCTGTATACACTTGAGGTGTGTGGAGTCTTAATTACGTAGAATTAAGACTATGACAGCTGATTACAAAAATTAGTGTTCAGATTACAAAAATTAGTGTTCAGAAACCGAAATAATTATCGCTACTGTTTTTAAAAATGTTTAAATTATCTTTATCTAATATTCAGTGGCGGAACTACTGGACGCAGGACCCTGCGTTGCGGGGGGGGGCCTACCAGCTATAGGGGGCCCTCATATAAAAAAAGTTATACTCTCAATAATATTTATACTATAAAACTCTTTTCCGCAAAAAAAACATTCTTTTAGGGGGGGCCCAAATTTTGAAGTTCCGCCACTGCTAATATTCATTGTGGAAGAGAAAATTTAAATCATTTATAACTCTGTTTGTAAAAAAATAGTGACAAATTCTTGATTTTGTAAATTGTCTGCGTATTCTACAATTGTTACTTCTACTAGATCGCTCCAGCTCAAAATTTAAAGAAGGGTGGTGAAAATTACAAATATCTTTCCCTTTTGAGATCTTATACATTTGAATCAGATCACCTCTTCTTCTTCTATCAAACAAAGTTGGCAATTCAAGTATCTTTAATCTTTCTTTATACGACTTCCATCTTAAAGATTCAATTCTCGTAGCCCTGTGTTGCACGATTTCAAGATTGTCAATGTCCTTTTTCCAAAATGGACTCCAAACTGTTGCTCCAAATTCCAAATGGGGACGTACTAACGATTTGTATAGTAACTTTAATGAAAATTCATCCAAATACTCAAAAGAGTTTTTGATCATGCCTAATTTTCTGTTTGCTTCACCTATAGCTGAATTAATATGATATTTCCACTCTAGATTATTTGAAATGAAAATCCCAAGATCATTTTCTATCATTGTTTCTGTTAAAACAGAGTTGTTTAATTTATATTCATATCTTATATTCTTTTTGCCAATATACATGACTTTACATTTTGATTCATTAAATGTAATTAACCAATCTTCAGACCATTTAACTAACTTGTTAATATCCTCTTGTAATATTTTATTACCATCATAACAATGATTGGTTGAAATAACTTTGGTATCGTCTGCATTTAATTTAGTGTCTTTAATAATCCCTCTACATAAGTCATTAATAAGATTATAAACAAAAGAGGTCCGAGTACTGAACCTTGTGGTACTCCACAAGTAACCATCTTCCAACTTGAAATATATTCCCCTATCACAACCCTCTGTGTTCGTTCTGACCAAAATAACTTACACCAATTTAACAAAGATGATACAAATTCTAGTCTGATCAATTTTTTCACTAATTTTGAGTGAGAGACTGAATCAAATGCTTTTTTAAAATCCAAAAATAAAACATCAACGGAAATATCCTCTTCATACGCTTGCGTGATTAAGTCTAATGTTTCTAACAGGTTTGTTATACAACTTTTGTTATTAACAAAACCATATCGCTCTTTAGAAATTAAATTGTTTTCAATAAGGAACACCATCATATGATCTTTAATAATTCTCTCCATAACTTTACCAACAATTGATGTTAATGAAACCGGTCTATAATTTGTTGGATCTAGTTTATTTCCTTTTTTGAATAACGGAACAACGTTTGCACATGACCATAACTTTGGAATAGATCCTGTAATAAACGATTTAACAAATATTATTGCTAAAAAACTTGACAAAGATTCTGAACATTCCTTTAAAGATTTTGGGTGAACATTATCTGGACCTACTGATTTGTACATGTTTAAATTACTCAAATGTTTTTGAATAACAGAAACACTAAGAACATTTTGTTAAAAGATTGTCGTCTAAAACTTCTTCTGATGAGTCATCTTGTATAAACACAGAAGCAAAGAATTCATTAAGAGTGTTTACTACCTCTTGATTATTAGTAGTTATAATACCATTATGTAGCTTTATGGCTTTGATCGAGTCTTTAAATCTTGTTTTGTTGTTTATATAAGCATAGACACTTTTAAGATTGTTTTTTGAATTAAGTCCCAAGTTTTTTTCAAAATTGCGAATACTTTTCTTGACAAGTTTTTTTATATGTTTATTTAATTTTTTTTACTTATTGACTTCTATAAGACTTTTAAAACCTGAGTTTTTGTTTCTAAACCAAAATTTTTTCTTTTCTTTACACATGCTTTTAAGTTCACTTGTCATCCATAGTGAGTTATTTTTTAGTTAAAAAGAGTTTCATCTAAATTTAGCGTTAGGATATATTTTTCGCATCCTATTTCATATTTTCCAAGCCATTTTTCGTAACATTCATTAAGACTTAGTCCTTCATATTCATTTATCCAGTTAATGTTATTAAAATACAAATCTAATGCTTTTTAGTTTCCATTTTTCCACAAAAATTTTTTCTTCCTCGTTTTTTAGTGATATTAATAAATAAGGTCTATTTTCATAACCAAATCGAAATTTCAAAATATGATGACCATGATCGATACCACCTAACGGTGGAAAATGTTCAAGAAAATAAACTCTGTTGCTATTATCAGTTAAAATGAGGTCTAAAATGCTAGTATCAATAACAAACTTTACTTGAAAACTAGGACTGATAACATTATATTTAATAATAGATAAGTTAAAAATATTTGATTTTGTAATATTGAAAACTCAATGAATTGAATTATTTTACACAAAATAAGTAAAGTAAAAAAATAAGTTAAAAAAATTAAAATTTCACTATGTAACAAGTTTTTACTTTTGTTTTGTTACTGGGTTGAATATATGTTTTCCTAGCCCGTTAGGTCTAAAACAAAACAAAACAGAAATTCCTGTTGTTCTAGAAACACTCTGCTTCTGTGATAGGGAAAATGAAATTTAGAAAAATCCTCCATTTATATTACTAAACTACTAGAGTTTTCCAGTAGTTTCTACAATTTGCCTAAACACTCTAGAACGTTCAAGAAACGTTTAGAACTTTCGAGAATTTTCTTCAACTTTCTTGAATGTTTTAAATATAGCTGTACAAGTATGTTTCAAAAGATGTACAGTTGTCTCGTACCAAGATTTCAATTTGTGTTACTGCAGACTTAAAGGACGATTAGTAGTTAAAAAGATTGTTAGTTAATTGATATTGCATTAGAAGGTTGTTTTCTTCAGCTGATTTATTCTGTTACGTATGCATACGGTTTTTAAAGACCATTGCAAAAAGAATACCGTTGAAGAAATTTGTAAATTGTGCAAGGTCTACAAGACATCTTTCGGCGTGCCAGTCAAGAACTAAGACAAATCATTGGCACCGCATTTCACATGCAAATATTGCAAGAAAATACTTGAAGGTAAACTAAATATCTGTAATGTACAAAGTTTTGTCATAAGTCATGTATTGTAGCCAAATACGTTACATCTTGAAATTGTTTCATATTTTAAATTTCCTGTCCTAAAATTATTAAATTTCTTATGCATTATCATGTGCTATGTTAGAGAAGAAAAACGAACCATAAAGTTTACTATCCGGCAAATTTGGTGAGAGCCATCGGGCCACTTAATTAACTTCTACTTCTACATGGTAAACCCAAAAAATTATTGTACGGTAAAATTGCTTTTCAGATCATTTTTACGGACTTACCTTCTTTTATCGGTCCAGTACCACAAAGCCCCAATATGTATGTTCCGACTCCTCCTAGGCTGCATGTTGCTCAGTGCAGTAAAGTATGTAAACTAAGGATGGGAGGTCATTTGTGACTATAAAAAGATATCATTTCTCGTGGGTCTTTAAGGAAGGTTCACAAAATTTCCTTGTTTCCTCTGTCAGTGGGACAGCCGTGACACACACCCCAAAAAAATAGGTCACAATTGACCGAGTTTTTTGTTGGGAAGAGCAATGTGAAGTTAGAGCCGCTGATTGAACCTTACAAAGTGCTTATGCCACCTCGCAAATTATGTTAGTCCTCATTAAGAAAATTGTCACTGCACTTCAAGAGAAGTCAGCGTTTTATTACCTCCAAGATCTTTTTCTAAAGCTGTCTTATGTCAAGGTCAGGGTTGGTATGTTCATTGAACCACCAATTAAGTATCACGGAATGTGAGGATTTCTCAAACCTGATGAACAGGACGGAGAGAGTGGCTTGGAGCAGTTTTGTTACAGTCGTCCAGGGCTTCTTAAATAATCACATAACTAAAAATGTGAAGTTGGTGCAGATTTTCAGAAAGAATTACGCCAAAACGGGTTGCAGAATGATTCTGAAAGTCTATAACCCTTGATTCGCATCTCAACAAATTCAAGAAGAACATGAGCACTTATTCCGAAGAGCAATGCGAGCGCTTTTATTAAGATATATTGGGCTTTGAACTTCTTTACCAAGGACAGTATAACAAAAATATGATGGGGTATTAAATTTGGGGGCTTCTTTGAGTGAGTGATTTGCAATACAATTGTAAATGTATAAAATCTAAATATTCTTGAACCCTTTTTGGTGGTTTCCGCTTGTATTTGTTTATTCCTCGTGCAATTTTTTTTATCTGATCATAATGACAAAAATGAAAAAAAAATTGTTCTATTTTCACAAAGGAACGAGTTTTCTTCGTACTGTTGTCGTGTAAGCAATTTTTATGCTTAATGAAGTTATTTTTTTCCATACTTTAGACATAATCAATTGAAATATAGCACTTAGATGCCAGGAACATAGACTTTGTTACATAGTGTTATAAAAAAAGTAAAGTTGTATAAAAAATAAAATTAAAAAAAAAAGAACGTCTTACTTTGAACTCAAAGTACTTAAAAGATCACAATATATTTCTGAATCTTCAATTGAATAGCTAAGATCAGTACTTGGTATAAATGCTTCTCCAATAACTTCGTTTTGAAATTTTTTTATTTTGTTATATTTTATTAACTTTATTTCTAAAATACATCTATTTAGTTGTGTGACATCTATATGGTGAAAAATAAATTTCTCGTTAAAGTTGAACTCACTGCTACCATTTACGCACTTTGAAGTTTGTAGTTGTGTATTTTCTGGCATTATACATAAAAGAACAAAAAAATTCATGTTTTGCTTTTCGTTATTGAAATACATTACTCTTGAAATCCATACTTCTAAATTGTTACTACTCCTCAGTAGTTTTGCTTTTATTGTTATTGTTCCAATTTTTTTTCTTTCCAACAAATGAGTTTGGTTGATCTTGTGATTAATAGCATTTTCTTTATTAATTTCATGAAGGTATACGCTGTTACGATCATGTGCACCCGTGTTGGAAATGTTTGATCTTGATTGATCACTATTGCTCTGTAAACTATCTGTCAAATTGTATTTCCCATTATTGCCTTGTGAATCGTTTTTCCGAAGTAAATTATTATTTAAACTAAAAACTTCTGAATATGTTTGGGGACAAAAATCGCATGCTAAAAAAAAAAAAATTATTTGTCATTGTGAATGTTAACAAACTAGTTTAGAAGTCGTAAAAAAGATTTTGTTTGGCTTTTATTCATTTTTTTTAGTGTTAGTTTTATAAGAATTGTCAAAGAGTTTTCATGTTTAGTGGTTGACAGATGAAACTGGAAAAAAATAATTAGTGTTTTAGAAGAAACTAAAATCTTTATAACTTTGAAGAAGATTTTTTTATTTTTTAACAGTTTTTTATTTTAGGTTTTGATTTTTTATAATTAAAAACAAGTTGGAAAAAACTAAAATTATTTTCAAAAGACGTGTTTATTTACTTTTTAATGCAAATAAAAACCTTGCTTTGATGATATTTCCTTATCCTTGCTATAGTATTCTGCAAAAAGCAAAAGTAGATTGTTATCTAAATAAGAAATCTTATTTTGTCACTGAAACTTGTATCGCAGTCAATTTACAAGATTTATTGGACCATACCGTTACACGATTGGTTATGTATTTAAAAGAAGTGGTACAAAATTTAAACGAAAAAGAGAGAAGTTCATTAATATTAAATTGTAAATGGGGCTGTGACGGATCACACTAAAATCAATATAAACAGAAATTTCTGAGTGACGCCGATTCTGATGCAAGTATATTTCAGAGTTCTTTTGTAACGCTTCAATTAACTTGTACTAAAAACAACAGATTGATCTGGCAAAATCTAACTCCTTCTTCGCCCCGTTATTGTCATCCTATAAGAATTAGATTTGTCAAAGAATCTAATGATATAACAAAATGAAGAGATGAAACTTATTGAAAATTCAATTATCTCTTTGCATGATACAAAATTGACAGTGGGTGGAAATTTATTTTTAGTTAAACATAATATGATGCTCACTATGGTTGATGCTAAGGTGTGTAACGCAGCCACTAAAACATCTTCTACTATAAGATGCTATATTTGTGATGCAACATCAAAAGATTTTAATAACTTTACTACTGAAAAAGATGTCAAACCAGATACACTGAAGTTTGGGTTATCAATTTTATATGCCAGGATCCGAATATTTGAAAATTTATTGCATCTATTTTATAAATTACCTATTAAAAAATGCCAAGCGAGATCAGAAAATAAAAAACTAATTGTCAAACAAAAAAAACTAGAAATACAAACAAATTTTAGAAAAAAAAATAGGTTTAATTGTAGACGTACCTAAGCCTGGATTTGGTAACTCAAATGATGGCAACACTAGCCGACGATTTTTTGCAGACCAAGCTTTGGCAGCTGAAATATTGTGTATAGGTTATAATCTAATATATTGCCTTAAAGTAATATTAGAAACAATATCTAGTTAACTTAAAATAATGTCGAAAAATTAAGAAGATATACTTTAAAAACTGGGGAATTATATGTCCAGTTATACCAATGTTATCCGATGACTCCTACAATTCATAAAATCCTTTTTCATGGTTTTATTCTAATAGAGCATGCTTTGCTTCGTATTGGTCAGCTATCTGAAGAAGCAGCTGAAGCACGAAATAAATATTTTCGTCTTTACTGTCAAAACAATGCTAGAAAATTTTCCAGAAATTTCAAATCAGAAATCTAATTAAGAACGTCGAGTCTTGCAACCTCGACGTTCTTAATAGATTACTAATTAGCTCAGATCCTATTTTAACTGGCATAAGAAAATTACCAAGAAAAAATATTAAACTATTCTTAAAAGAAACCTTGGAGATGCTACTTCCAGCTGAACTTTCTAATTTTACTAACTTTGTTGACACAGAGAAGAAACCTTCAGAGCAATCAGGGATGTCTTCAGAGCAATCAGGGATGTCTTCTGATAAAGAAATTTAGCTTTCGACATCATCCTTTTATCAGTAGTTATTTTGTGTTAAAATATAAATAGCTGTAAAGATTTTTTTTTTAATATTTATCATAGCTTTATAAGAGTTATTTAGTAATGGCAAGTGCTTCCGAATACATTAAGATAACACAAATCGCGATTTTTCGATTCCGAGAGGAAGAAAATTTATCCATTATATATAATAGATTTATATCATAAGAACCATATAAAATAGGTTCTTATCATATTTATGCTATAGAAAAGTGTGAAGAAAAAAAAAAAGCTGTGAGGAGGGGGAGGAGGGATTCTACCATCAAAAAATGTTTTGAAAATCTTTTGTTTTCTCTTATTATTTGTCTTCTCTATCAGCTTTTCCTAAAAAAAGTTAAACTTTTTTAATCAAAGTTTATCAAATATTTGCCGCCTTTTCAATCAAATACCCCACAGTGCGTTGGTCGGAGTTTACATTTAAAAATTATTAGTGTTTTCTTTAGATTTATCCTTTCATGTTTGTCAATACTTTCATAGTATAGACCCTCCCGTCTACAAAACTCACGTAGAAGAGCTTTGAGTAAATTTTTAATTCTTAAATTATAGGAACTAAATGTATTCTTTTCATATTGAATGTAAACAATGAGCTATTGTTAGTTATTTTAAACGTAAGTTTTAATTTTTAATACTGCATGTTTTAAAGTTTTAAAACATACAATATGCCATCGAATGTTGCGTATTTTTGTTATTGAAGTTTGATAATTAGCACCTGCTTAAGCATGAATTTTTTAACTTACAGGTATCAAATGTATCATTTGTGTGATGAATGTAAGCAATACTATTGTTCAATACTTTATACGCTGGTTTTAATTAAAAACGGAAAAAGAAAAATACAAAAAAAAAATAAAGAGTTTAACTCTTATTTTCATTGGAGCAATTGTTTGTTTTTTCCTCTGCTTTCATATATACCTATTAATTGGAAAATATTAAAACTACCATGGAATCTAGTGGAATTATGAAATCTAGTGAAATCATTTTAATTATGAGTTTAGTTTTTGAACTAAACTCATTATTAAACTAATTTGAAAAAATCAATTTATGACACATTTTTGAGTAAGTAACGAAAATCTAAAACTAAAATTTATTTTCAAAAATGTTGTTAATAGTTGCCAAATATCTTAAACATATGACTTCAAATTAAATTTCAAACTGCTTTTACCCATCTCAATCTTAAAAGAGTGACACTAATGTGAGACTTTTTTGAACAAGTTTTCCAACAAAAATATAAAATAAATAAGTTTTTGAAAAAAGCGTGTAAATTAGGGAAACCTTCAAAGTAATTTACAAAAAAAATAACAATTGCCTTTTAGTGGTGTTTAGTTAAATTATAATTTAATTAATTATTTTCTAGCAATAGTTTTTTATGGGGGGGAGGGGGGAGGTAGATGGGGTTTACCGTTTTTAATGGATTTTGACTCACTGTGTGCAGTTCAGGTACCGTACGCTGCATTGGCACAAATGAATCAAAAAGAGTTCGAGATGTAATTGGATCAGCAAGAAACAAGCTGAAATTATTTGGTGAGTCTTCTGTGATAACACAACATATAACCACAGAAGCTTCGATGTCACTACCTCTGCCAACGTTAATGGTACCAATCCAGTCACTAGCTCCAAATACGACTCAAGTAAAGAAGCGTCTACCTTCAAAACAATTTAAATAGAACCCGCAAGATATGCAAAACAAACATTACTCAATACTACAACTACACTCAAACACAACTACATCTACTTTTAAGCTAACAATCTTTGCTCTTTAAATAGAAACAACATACTAGAGCTTAAAGTTAAAGTTATGACTTTCCCAAATAACGAACTAATACCAGATGTTATCTTTATATCTGAAACGTGGTTCAATGAAACATTTGACACCTTAATTGACAGATACCATTTGCACAGAAAAGACAGAGGCAGCCAAAGAGAGAGAGTGACAATTTATAATAAATCTACTATTCTTGCTGCATTAACTAGTGTAAAAAACTCTAGCGTTAAGCAACTTTGGCGAGTTCTCAAGTTCAAAAAACTCCTCCTCCTATTTATCAACATCAAGATAATAACGATGATACCTTCATGAAAATAATCGGCTTTGATTGAATAATCTTCAATCAAAGCCGCAAAATACAGTATATCGAAACTAGGCTGAACATCCATGTTCTTATACGGTGACTTTAACTTTACCCACACAACATATGAAGAACTTGTAATTGATGACAGTACACTATTTGTAGCGCATATCAACAAAAAATAACCTGGTAAAGCCATTTTTTAACAAAGCTTAGGTGAGCATTTTTTACTCTAATGATAACATTCTCAAATTTTCGTACCTCAAGAAACAATATACCGGATAATATTGTTAACCTTGTCATAACAGATAAACCAAACCGAGTTAGAGACCTTAAAAAGGATGATCCGATTTGAGACACACGTAAGGGTAAACCTCACTTCTTAATCACTGGACATTTCGAAACTATGAACTTTCAAGTACCAGTTACTTTTTATTGACGTTATATTAGGAACAAAGCGAACTATCAAAGAATATCAGAATATACTATGGATTACGGTTAGGACAAAAAATTTACATATCATTCAGTAAACTTTAGCTACCAACTACTTGTAAGTAAATATATCTAAGCTGTCTGCAAATACATTCCAGTAATTTCTGTTCTATTCAAAACAAAATTAAGAACCTCGGACCACGCCTAAAGTTGCATAAACGGTTTTTCATAAACGTAATATCCGGAGAAAATATGTCGCTTCTAGAACAAAAACATATGAAACAATCTGGAGTAAGCATAAAATAGCCTGTAAGCATTTTTCAGAGTTAATAAACAAGCTATTCAAAATTACGAACATCAGTTAGCTTGTGTTTTCAAAAATGAAAAAAAGAAAAATAATGATCATTTCAAACAAAAAGAAGAAACTAATAACTCACTTCAAGCTCTTGAAGATGTCAATAAAATCAATGTAACCGATGGTGCAGAAATTTTAGATATTCAAAACGATTTTATTCTGTATTCACTTCTGAAAAACCAGATTTGCAGCCAGATTTTGAATCACGAACAAATTTTTTTTTTTTAAATCTTTCAGGATTTCAGTTCAAGAAAGACAAAAAAAGCTCATTAAAACTAAGTTAAAAGGATATGACGACATACACCTACGAGTATTACGCAACTGCGCCTCAGCATTCGCAATTCAATTAGCTATGATCTACCGAATATGATTTTGAAACTTACAAGTTTTAGAGCTCTGGAAAAGATCAAAAGTTACCCCAATTATTAAACAAGACAGCAAGCAAAGCCGATTCAATTATAGATCAGTCATTCAGACTATTGTTGTCTTTGAGCGCTAAAACATTGATACCCTGCAAAATTATAAAACCTAATATCAAAAGAACAGCACAGATTTCTTTATTGTAAATGATGCACATCGAACTTACTTGAAACTCACGATATACTAACAGAAGCAATGCATTAAGGCTACGCCACTGATATTATCTTCACTGACATTGCAAAAACATTTGATAAAACTTGACACGTAAGACTTTTACACAAATTTAAAACCTATGTTATAAACGGATTGGTCTTGGACTTGATTGCAGACTGGCTAACAAATTGTTATCAACGAGTTGTAATCGACAAGCACATATCTAAATGGAAATAAGCGGGGACACCTCAGAGCTATTTGCTTGGTTTACTTCTTTTCATCTCATACAATCTACCGGAATTTATTATTTATCACATAAAGATTTATGTGATAAGTAATAAATTCCGCAAAATACTCGAACTTCAAAAATCTGAGGAGGACAAAAATACATTGCAAATTGACATAGATAGCCTAGCAGATTAGTTGCATAAATGGAACATGTCTATCAGTGGTAACTCCAATCTATTTAAACTTGTTTAATACTTGATTTAAATGGAAACAGAATTCAACTGGACGTCCCTAAACAAAAACATGATCTAAGAGTACATCTATCACACAATCTTAGATTAAGCTAACAAGTCAAATCAGCAGCAGCAGGAGCCAACTGGTATATTATAGAAATAGTTTTGATGTAGTGGACTATATTTGCGGAAAGTAAAAATTCTATATAAGACCCCAGTAAGATTATGCTATCCAGGCTTGGTCACCACACAAAGAAAAAGACATTGCTATTCTGAAGCAAGTTCAGCATAAAACCACTAAAACAATCATGGAAATAAGCACTTACCATATAAAGACAGACTTCTTCATCTTGGTTTAACAACACTTAAACAACAAAGAGTTCAAGGTGATCTCATTCAACAGTTTAAACTTACTTAATTTATTAACCAAATCATTTTTGAGAACCTTAAAAACTACGCCGTTGATTTTCAAATTTCAAAAAAATATAAATATTCATCTTGTATTG